AAGAAGTAATTTTCAAAGTCAAATTTTAAAGTATACTACATTTATTGGTGCTCAACTCTGCCGCTCCACACCAGTTGACACACACCAGTAATACATACTGTTGATAATACTTTCATTTGAGGGACTTGTACTCGTCTACTACAGTTTTTTTTTTTTTTTTCCGGAGTGTGTCACTGAATGTTGGATAATTAAAGTGTGCTGTCTTATCTGGGATGGTTTATTCCATTACTCATTGAGTTGTCGTCTCTCTCCCTCTGTAGCCCCTCCCACAATTGACACGGATACCAGCACTGGTGCTTTCGGGTTTGGCCTTCTCCAATTGTTTAAGGGTGGTTGAGTTCCTGCATGGTTACGGAAAGATTCTGGGGCTCCAAGTGCCCAAGGATATTCCCAGCTTGAGCACCCTGCAGGAAGGGCTCCTCGGCATGGAAAAGAGCCAAGGCGAACTCCTGGATCTGCTCATTAAACTGGTGGAGGCCGCTCTGCACGATCCTGGACTGCCCTCATATTACCAGGTTTATCTTTTGAGTGATATCAGTTAGGGCTGGGACAATAAATCAATCACGATGCATTCGGAAAATCTCAGAATCATTTCTCGAGTCGCAATGCATTGATTTATTGTCCCAGCCCTAATATCAGTGAATTAAGTTGTTTTCTATTTATAACAGTGTCAAAAAAGTCTAAATCTCATCGGTTGCTGTCTAAAACAACTTTGAACTTGGACAGAAATTACTTAATTACTAAGTAATTACTTAATAACTAACCCTAACTAAAATAACTAAACGTTAATGGAAAACAGCCTTAAAAACCAACAAGAAACCACACCCACAGCACATTAAACTGAAATATTTTGAAGTCTTATTATATATTAACATTGAATATTCAGTGGGAAATAATGTAGGATGGCTTTCACCCTAAATTCAAGGTACGTGATTGGTCAGTGAGTTAATGAAGGTTGGTTTGTTTCTCTTTCCTTACTCAGTCTGTGAAGATCCTGGGGGAGAAGCTGGTGGATCTGGAGCTGAACCACAGCACTGTATCTGAGGTGCTGCGGATCTTTCTGGAAGCCCATGGCTTTGAGTTGGAGGTGTGTAACAGTCTGCGTACAAAGAGCTTCCAGACCCTCAAACCCGACGTCAAAGCCTCCATACTGGCTTTCCTGGTGGAGGAACTCAACGCCAGCAACATAATCACCAGGTCAGCAGGAATTCAAATCATATTATCATCATATTTTAATAGAGTTTTGTAGATCTGCATATGTAAACGTCATTTTCCAACCGTTCTGTTTCTGCAGGGAGATTGATAACACGCTAGAGAATATGACAACCTACAGGAAAAACAAGTGGATTATAGAAGGCAAGCTACGCAAGTAAGACCCCTGCTTCTTATCCTGACAGCTTATGTGTGAACCAGAGTCTGTTTGATATCAAAATTTGGGCAACACTTTAGGTACTAGTTCTTACTATTAACTAGCTGATAATTAGCATGCATAAGCTGTTACTAGCATAAGCTGTTTATTAGTACTTATAAAGTATATATTAATGCCTTATTCTGCATGACCCTATTGTGTGTGTGTGTGTGTGTGTATATATATATATA